ATAACTGCATCTTGAGCTATGTATGATTATGTGCTGTGGAGTGATGTCTGACTCATAGCAACCCTGCATAGGGTTTCTGAGGCTGTAAATCTTTACAGGAGCAAAAAGTCTCATCTTTCTCCCAAGGAATGGCTGGTAGTGTCAAACTGCTGACTGTTAGATTTGTAACCACTGTGCTACCAGCAGCCCGATTTGTAACCACTACACTACCAGAGCTCCTTTGGTCAATGTATAGGTTCCTTATAAACACAATTAGGTGTTCTGGAATTCCTATTTCATAATGTTATCTATAATTTGTTTTGATCCATACAATTAAAAGCCTAGCATAGTCAATAAAACTCAGATAAACATCTTTCTAGTATTTTCTGTTTTCAGTCAAGTTCATCTGACAGCAGCAATGATACCGCTCATTCCATGTCCTCTGAATCTAGCTTGAATTTCTGACAATCTCTGTCAATGTACTGCTGCAACGGTTTTTGAATTATCTTTAACATAACTTTACTTGCATGTGGTACTGATAATATTCAATAATTTCTGCATTTCATCTGATCATCTTGAAGAATAAGGTGTGTCTGACCCAAACCAATCATCTCATATGCATGCAAAAGCTGGACATTGAATAAGGAAGACTGAAGAACTGATGCTTTTAGACTATGGTGTTGACAAATACTGAATATATACCATGGACTACCAGAAAAATGATCAAATCTGTCTTGGAAGAGGTACAGCCAGAGTGTTCCTAAGAAGTGAGGATGGCAACACTTCATTTCATGTGCTTTGTACATGTGATCAAGAGGGACTAGTCCCTGGATAAAGACAGGGTCAGAAAAAAGAGGAAGACCTTCAACGAGATAGAACGACACTGCACCCATGAGCTCAAACATAACAACTGTGAGGATGACACAGGACCAGGCAGTGTTCTGTTCTCTTGTACATGGGGTAGCTATGAGTCAAAACCGACTTGACAGCACCAAACAGCAACAACATTTGGCATATGTATTACATGCATAAGCTTGGAGTCATATTTGTTGTTAAGTACTGTTGAGTATGTTACTCATAGTGACCCCGTATTGTTTCTGAGGCCATAAACCTTTAAATCTTTCTGGGAGCAGAAAGCCTATCTTTCTCCCATTAAGTGTTTAGTAGGCGCAAACCAAAGACCTTGTGGTTGGCAGTCCAGTGTTTATCCTACAGAGCCACCACACTTTCTGGAATCATATGTTATTGTTGTTAAGTGCTGTTGAGTTGGTTCTGACCCATATTGACCCTGTATAGGACTTTAATGGCTGTAAATCTTTGTGGGAGCAGAAAGGCTTATCTCTCTCCTGTGGAGTGGATTGGTGGGCTTGAACCACATTTCTGTGGTTCACAGTCCAGTGCTTCAGTTTACTGGTATAAAATAAGAACAAGATTGATGCTACTTACTTCACAGGATGTTGTGAAGATTAAATACATAGTGGATAGATTACAGTGTCTGGAAAAGAACAAGTGTTAAATGACTGGTAGCTACTATACTACCTGCTGCTATATTTTTTTGTAATATTTGCAGGTCTGTCTCCTTTGTTAGAATGTGAGCACCATTAAGGTATGAACTGTGCATCAATCTTTTTTTATCTTCAGTTCTATACCCAGAGCCTACTATTAGGTGCTGTGATGCTGACTGATGGGAAGGCAGGAGATGGGGAGGACCTTTCCTATGTATGCCCTGGGGAATGGATATGGGAAATGGGGAGGACTCAACCACACCTCATGCTATATCTGGAGCAGCAGGAGTTACACAATAGTTTCTGTGACAGTCTTGGCAGAGGTTAATGGGCTCCAAATTAAAAAAATTTCTAGTAAAATTAAAAGCAAAATTGGTTAGGTGGTAAGGGTAGGAATCGTAGGGGTTGGGAATCAGAGACTGCACTAAGAATGCAGTAAGCAGCAGGGCCAGATTGGGAGTTCTTGTGCTATGTCAACTGCAGAATTCACTTCCTGGGATGCAGATTAATGTGCCAGGGAGAATCTACATAACTAAAACACTGTCACTAATTGCTACTCTTAGGATTTTAAAATGTGTAACATGCTTTCTAACTTAAAGTCTACGTAAGAAGAACCCAAAAAACCAGGCTGTACCAGATTCAACTCTGGTTCAACCTTTACTACTTGTACAACCTTGGACAAATATCTTAATCATGATCAGTCTCAGTTTCTATATCCATGCAACCAAGAACAATACCACCTTCATGTGGGATGGTTATGGGGGTTAGTAACAATAAAGTGTCTGATACAATGCTTGGCCTATAGGTGGCACTTAATAAATGGTAACCAGTATTGTTATTTCAAAGACCAACAATGTACTCAGCCAATTATGAAAAATAACTTGCTTTATCCTCTTTAATATATCATACAGCAAACTATGTTAAGTGGTTATAGCTGTTATAACATGCGTAACACTGCTATGTCTTCAGGAAGATGAGTCTGAAAAATTTGTCTCAACATTTCCTTGAACATTTAGAGAAGTGCAAGAATGAGCTAACAAAATAACTATCATTAGTCGTACAATTAAAATATTAATAGTTCAAAATTAATTGTTATGTTGAAAGCCAAATATTTCTTCATTGTAAAGTAGTAAATTACAAGAATGAAAATGCTAGAAACAAAAACATGACAACTTTTTAACCCCCTAAGACGCTGATACAAAAATAGCATCTTGGTTTAAATTTTCACCTGCTTTCAATTATCCTCTTTTTAGTGATAAAACTCTGAAACAGGTGAACATATTATAATCTGTTCAGAAAATAAAATGAAAACAAATCTCCAACTGAAGAGCCCTAATGGTTTTATAATCTCCAGTTAAGGAACTCTGGTAACATAGTGGTTACGAGTCGGGCTGCTAACCTCAAGGTCAGCAATTCAAAACTACCAGCCATTCTGCAGAAGAAAAACGTAGCTTTCTGCTCCCATAAAGATTTACAACCTCAGAAACCCTATATAAGGTTGCTATGAGTCGGAACCAACTCCATGGCACATAACCAGCAGTAAATACCACCAGTTAAGTTTAATTTTTTTCTAGCTTTGAAGGTTTACCATAACCTGGTTCTACGCATTCTACCCTATTTTCCACAACTTGGTCACATTACTTCTTTCTTTAAACCTGGCCTCTGTATCCCCAATCCCATGCTCATTCTCATCACTGAGGCTTTTCTTGTTCTGTCTCCAGGTGTACTCATCTCACCTCTCTACTAGGTTTTCTGACTGAGGCCTGCTTATGCCCAGGACTCCGGCCTACCCTGAGCTATACAATCAGCATCTCACAAGATACACCACACTGTACTATCTTTAATTTGCACATTCTAGCTCTCTATTTTAACGACAGAACACTAGTCTACTGATTAATTTTCTTTGCCTGTGTTTATAGGATAAGCGATTTCTTTCACAGGTCACACATGAGGAACTTATACAAAAGTTGAACCACATGTGAACTACTTTTTCTGACTGTTTTCATGAGAATATCCTTATTTGTAGTCAAGGTTGTTGTTGTTAAGTGCCCTTGAGTCTGGTTTCCGAGGAGCGGCTAATGCGTTTGAACCACTAACATTGTGGTTCAAACCAGCTTGTGGTCCAGTGCTTGTTCTACAGTACCACACCAGGGAGTCAGGGTAGATGATAGTTTAAAATCAATGTTTGCTAATTTTTAGACGAGTTTTAGAGATAAAAGCTAACCTGTATACACTTTTCTTATTTGCAATATTAAAGTTTCCTTAGCACCAGAAGTCAAAATTTTAAAAGGGGTATTTCTTTATTTTAGGCACAATTTCCTTTGGAAACACTTCAAAACACAAGGAAAAATTCCTAAAGGGCTCAAAAGAATAAAGACTTCTAAAACATACTTATTTATAAGTTTGCTCTGTCAAACATGGGTGCAGCAAAACAGACTGAAAAATGACTTATTATACACAAATAAATCAAAATTATACAGTATCTTGAATTACTCAAATGCCATCATAGATAAAACCCAATATTTACAGAAATGATACGAAAATTTCAAGACTAATTAAATGAAACCACTTTTAAGAGTAATCAGCTTTGTTAATATATGGCTTGCTCTTCATTTAGAATTTATTCTTAGATTTATTAATACCTCAAGGAGGTATTACAGTGACTTTAAAATGAAGGGAACTGAAGGATGTAACACCAGGAAAGGGTAATGTCCAAACTTTTTCCTTGAGGTTTAAATTCATTTAGTGGTCAACATGTGCAAATCTTTCTTCATTTAAACAGATGAAGTTTAGGCTACTCTTTCAAATCTTATCACTATGAATAAACATTATTTTATAAATAATTCAAAATAAGAAAAGATGTCTTTATATTCATGTTTAGTCAAGTATTTATCATTAGAATATAAGAACAAAGAAACTGACTTAGAATCATATTAACCAAATGTGTCTCTATTCAAAACACATTAGTTCAAATAATTTAAATTCCTCAGTATAGTATAAACTATCTGAAAATTTCATGAGTCGAATCTCACAGATTCAAGATAGTGCCAGTTTAAAAAGTGTTTGGATACTAAGAAATCTGTTAACTGATATTAAGCAAGTATCCTTTTTTGCAATCTCAGTAATACCACCATCAGGAGAAACAACATGAGTGAAACACTTCCCTCTCCTCACAACTGTAAAAATCACCAATCTACTACAAGGGAAATTTTAGCTTAAGTCATTTTGAAACCTAGGCAAACGATCAAGGATTTTCAGACCACTATAAGACAATAAAATATTTGCCAAGCATTTTAGGTAATGATTGAGAGGTTTCCAGAAAATAAAATCTCAATACTGGCACAGGGGGGAAGCCATAAAAAAGAAGATAAATCTTGGTTTTAGAATATTCTTATTAGTTATAATCAGGGATTCACTAAAATACTTAGCTTTACAGAGTGTTATAACCAATAATAACGTGTTACAATACAGAGGAAGGAAGAAAGAAATATGTGAAGATCAAAATTTATCACTTACCTCATGATTCAACTCTGCTATCTGATCTTTCAGTTCCCTAATATACTGGTTAGAGTCAGACTTGTTAAGCTGTCCTTGAAACTTTCCTTCTTCTTTCTGTTTTGCGACAATACAACAAAGTAAAAATATGAGATAATCTTTATAATGTGTATGCAAATATTTCAAGCTAAGTGTATAACCTTTAATTGGCTGAATTCTGAACTAATTTCATTCTCAAGCTATCTGAAAAGCAATTCGTAGTGAACTATGCTGAATATTTACAAATAATGCTTAGTGAGAGTTGTTTACAACAAATACAATGTATACAACATACCTTTTAAAGGACTTGTAGAAACCAAGCAACTAAGTCTACTCCTGAAAAATTCACCCTAAAATTTCAAAGCTATTTATCTAATGCAGCTAGTTGGTTATCTTGAGGGTAGATAATTCTCTATTCAAAATATAAGAGATTCAATGCTTAGTCAAGAAGGTGATGAGCTGCCCAGAGCTATATTGGGAGGTATGCTTTTGCTTGGGAAATAGAGAAAGAGGAGTGGGGTGGGAAGGTTCTCCAAATCACTTTGAAAAGGGAGAACAACAACTAAGTCTCTTCCGACAGCTGATTAAAAGGTGCTCCTAATACTAAGAACCACTTCCAAACAGTGTTGAGGCAGTTTGCCAGTGTGGCACTGTAGGATATGCACTGGACCACACAAGGTTGGTTTGAATTGCAAGGTTGGTGGTTCAAACTCACCAGCTGCTCCTCGGAAACACTATACAGGGTCACTATGAATTGGAACTAACTTGATAACACTTGGCAACATAAAACATATTGGGAAAGGGAGGGGTGGATTTTTTTGGTTTTGGTACCACCTGCAAACAAACATGTATTTTGCAGACAAAGAATTTATTGAACAGTGAAAACAAAATTCTGTCTAATAAAACCAGATTATTTATAATTAGACACACTTGATGATTAAATAGTTAAGATGTTCTGATCCAAAAGACACCTTAAGACTTTAGCCATAAGTTCATTGTTAAGTAAAAAAAAATACATTCTTTTAAAAAAATATATTTTTAATCAGCGCAGAACCAAAGAACAGCAGAGATATTAACTCAAAGTCTTAGTCAAACCTTCTCTGAAGTAGTCTTTCCACCTGATTTACTTACATAAACCAATAAAATCTCTTTATTATTTAAATGTAGATGGACTTTCTGTCATTTAACACCAAAATAATAATAGCTACCATTTATTTGGAGTCCTGGTGTGGCACTTAGGGCTAATGCATCAGACTGCAAAGTCCTATAACTAAGTGCAAGGTTGGTGATTCAAGCTCATCAGCTGTTCCTTGGAAATCCTATACAGGGTCACTATGGGTCAGAATCGACTAGACAGCACTTCATAACAACAACAACAACAACAACCATTTATTTAACACTTATCTGCCCTTCTTGACTGAGGTTGTCCAAAGGAATTAAGCCTAATACCTTAAGCATCCATTATATGTAATGATTTAATTTACTTCCAGTGCATCTAGAATGTACCATTTTTAGGAGGGTTGAGAAAAGTCACTCAAAATAATTTTCTGTAGGGCTTAATTCTCTTGTGGCACCCTGGTTAAGAAAGCCTGGCACTTACAATGTTCTAAACCCTTTGAATGTAATTAACACACAATATCTTGTGTGTTAATTACTTGTGATGATGTTGTTACTGTTAGGTGCCAATGTGTTATTCCGACTCATAGTGACACTATGCACAACAGAAAGCAACACTGCCCGGTCCCACACCATCCTCACAACTGTTGTTAATGTTTGAACACCTTGTTGATGTCACTGTGCCAATCCATCTCTTGGGGGGGGGGGGTCTTCATCTTTTTTGCTGACCCTCACTTTACCAAGCATATTGTCCTTTTCCAGGGACTGGCCCTTCCTGATAATATGTCCAATGTATGAGAGATGAAGTCCTGGCTTCTAAGGAGTACTCTGGCTGTACTTCTTTCAACATAGACCTGTTTGTTCTTCTGGCAGTCCATGGTACCTTCAATATTCTTCTTCAACACCACAACTCAAATGCATCAATTCTTCTATAATCTTCCTTATTCACTGTCCAACTTTTGCATGCATATAAAAAAGGCTATTGAAAATAACATGGCTTGGATTAGGTGCTACCACTGTGCCAGTTCATCTTGTTGGGGGTCTTCCTCTTTTTCACTGACCTTTCTCTTTACTGTTTCCAGGTCCCTCATGATAACATGTCTAAAGTATAAGAGATGAAGTCTCACCATCCTGACTTCTAAGGAGTTTTCTGGCTATAGTTCTTCCAACACAGATATGTTTGTTCTTGTGGCTATCTATGATACTTTTAATATTCTTCTCCAACACCATAATAAAAATGCATTGATCCTTCTGTGGTCTTCCTGATTCACTGTCCAACTTTCACATGCATCTCATTTTATGATGGATAGTACTATTCCTACTTCATAGCTCCACCACTCGTCTGTCAGTTTGTAGTACTGTGGTAACTTGCATGTTGCTGGAAGCTATGTCACCGGTATTTCAAACACCGGCAGGTTTACCCATGGTGTATGGGTTTCAGCAGAACTTTGCAAATAACGTAGATTAGGAAGAACAGTCCAATGACCTGCTTCTAAATATCAGTCAGTGAAAACCTTATGTATCATAACAGAATTATTGTACTAGCTAGTATAGTGCTGGTAAATGAGCCCTTTAGGTTGCAATGCACTACACAAAAGTCACAACAGTGGATTCAAATATAAGATCATGAAGATGGTGCAGGGCCTGACAAAGTTGTATATAAGGTTGTCATGAGTCCTAGTCCACTAAACAGCAACTAACAACTTCATAGATGAGGAAATGTAAGTAGAGAATTGAGTGGACTGGATGCCTGGTTGTCACAGAAAGAGGTGACATATTTTCACCCCAAGTTACAGTATTCTAAATAAAAGAAACAAGTATGTGGAGACTGATAACAAAAGATCACAAGCAAAAACAAAAACAAAAACAAAAACAAAAACAAACAAACTATAGCCAGAAAGCTCCATTCTTAGGAGTTTTCTGATTACAGTTTTGTTGTACACATCTTTTTTTTTTTATTGAAAAATTCTGTATTTAGAATTAGGTAGCTGGACTCAGTTTACATGATCCCAATTTTGTTGGCAACATCTAAAGCATCATAGTCAGGAGCCAGTGGAACATATGCCTTCTTTTCTCCATTAAGCCTAATCAAGGTATTGACCTTGGTTACTTCAGTGTCTAGAGCTTCTTCAGAGCCTGTTTGATCTGGTGCTTGTTGACCTTGATATCCACAATGAACACAAGTGTGTTGTTATCTTCATTCTTCTTTATGGCTGACTCAGTGTCAGAGGGAACTTGAAGATGGCACAGTGGTTAAGCTTGCTTCCCCTGGGGGCACTCTTCCGAGGAGCCTCAGTGTCTTAGGGCCACCGGAAGGTGTGTGATGTGCAGATCTTCTTTTCTTATGTGGCTGTGGATGCCTTTCAGCACTGCCTTCTGTGCCTTCAATGCCTTCGTTTTGGCTTCAGTTTTGGAAGTGGTAAAGGCTTCCTTCCTCGATTTTGGTGCCATCTTCATAAAAAGGACTGCTGCAAATATCTTTTGTGTTTTCTTAAATACTTATTTTCATTTGCTGCTGACTTAAATGGGAACTGCAACATGAAAATTAAATGAAATTAAAGATGTTTAATTTAATGACCCAAGAAGCTTTGGTTGTGCAGTGGTTAAAGTGCTCAACTGCGAACCAAAGGTCCAGGTGGCTTAAAATCAAGAACTACTTTGCAAGAGAAAGATGTGGCAGTCTGCTTCTGCAAAGATTTACAGTTTGGGAAACTAGTTCTACTCTATCCTATAGGATTTCCATGAGTCAGAAGAAACTCCAAGGCAGTATGGGAAGCTAAAGACAACCTTGGAGTTGTCTAATACTACTTACATGTATTTATGTCTGGATCTTATTTTCAATCACCACTTTTTAAAATAAAATGCTTCAAAAGCACAGAACAAGAACAAAAGAGCAATAGAATAAAGACTAATAATAACTATTTCCTTGGCTTTGGTGTGGGGCTGTGGGCTAATGCGTCAGATGGCAAAGTTGTCTGAACTGCAAAGTCAGTGGTTCAAGCTCATCAGTTGCTCCTTGGAAACCCTATACAGGGTCACTATGGGACGGAATCAAGTCGATGGCATTTAACAAAACTAACTCTAGACTTTCTCTCTTAATCCTATGTATCCTCAAAGTGGAAATGGATAACGTCAAGCAGGGGTGGATCAATGAATGAGTGAAGCAGGAAGGAAGAGAAGGAAGACAGAGAAAAAGTATATAGAGAAGAATATTTATTGATGTTAAAGAAATCATTTTCCTTTAGAATGTACTCTCTAAATCTAACTGGAAGAGACTCACTCATTTGGATAGATATGTGCAGCTATATGTTTTAGTGGCTTAGTATCATGTTACATAACCTTCTATGAAATGGTTGATGAAGTAGCAACTGAAATCCAGTACTAGGAAGAAATTCAAGATGAAATGGAAAGGCTAGTTATTTGTGGGTTGGAATCAGATTTGGAGAAAGGTACCTTCAAGTCTGGTCAACAATGAAGGCAAAAATATTTGAGAATTTTTGACATTCCATAGCAATAACATCATGTGGGATAACATAAAAATTTTAATGCAAATAGACAACAAAGCCCAAGGTATGGAAGAAATTCAAGAAAGCAGAAAGATGTTAGGTTTGAAAGAGAGTCTGAATAGACATGGCAATAAAAAGTCACCATGACTACAAGAAGAATGACCAGCAACTATTCTTCATGTTAATTCGTTCCTATAAGGAAATTTGCAAGGAATGAAAGTTTGGCAGAATGTTGGTGCTGTTACTGCTGTAAAGTTGGTTCCCAAATCAAAGTGAGCCTGTAGAGGATTTCTAAGGCTGTACATCTTTGCAGAAGAAGAAAACCTCATCTTTCTCCCATGGAGCAGTTGGTGATCTCAAACCATTGTAACATTAAATATGTTTTGCAAAAAAACTCCACCAAGTAACTCCAAAGATGTCCCCTCTATTGGTGGAACAGAGTGCGGTTTAGCTAAA